TTTAAAGGTATATCGGCACCTAAAGATTCAGGCAGGTGCCTAGTGGGATTTTCAAGACAGCCTGGGTGCCTGAACTCCCAGTACCTTTTAAAATCTGCCCCCTCGTCCTTATCCCAACAAAAGAAAGTACTTAACCCTCACAATCCCCCTAAGGGCCTTGTGAGTGCAGCTGCTATAACCAGCCATCATGGATCCCATTTATGTTAACCCTTGCTATGGAGAATTACATACTGAGTACTTATGATAATATTTCATGAACCTCCTGAATTATCACCTTTACCATAATAGGTAGATAAAGTAGCTGAGGCAGATGTACAAAAAGGCATCTAGAAGCAATTAAATCCTTAACTGGTAAAAGTAAAATCCAACATGATTACTCAATGCATAGTGAAAAATAAACATAACAATGTTCTACAGTGCTGAACATTAAATATTTGCCCTATAATCTATTTACAGTGTTAGCAATGGAAAACATATTCTGCATACCACCTTTTGGAATACTGAACCGTAATGACATGCACTGTTTAACTGACATTACATTTGTTATAGAGTGCTAAAGTTTATTCCCACTAAAAACAGTATAGACAATGGACTTGATTAGAATTTAATGGATTAATAGTGTTTGTGGTGCTCTACCCAACAATATTCTCTATTATTATTACTAGAAATTTGCTTGTCAAAAGTCAGTGTTTTATTCACTTGTAAACTGAAAGTGATATTTCAGATTAACAAACTATTTTATGTTGCATAATTCATCATTAGTGGATTACATCATTAATCCATTTTGTCAGATAACTGCAAAAGGCATGGTTTGATCAGATTAAATATCTATCAAAGAATTTTCTCTGTTTGTTCTATATATAACTATTTCTCACAACAGAAAAATTTTAAAATACTAATTAGTCTGGTTCTGTACAGATGTTATTTGAGAACTTTAAAACATGCAGTTTGCTATTTTTTCACTAGATCAAGGACTCAGTTCTGCTTCCATTAACTTCAATGGGAACAGGAGTATGCCCCAAGTATATAACTTATTTTTTTCACAAGTCTATTATCTGCCACCCCTCTATTCAATATAGGAATTCATTATCAACCACAAAAATCAAGGATATTTGGAATATCATACCAAATAAAGATATTTCTAAGCATAATCTTAACATTTAATCACATTTAAGTTCCTTTTAAGGTATAAAAACATTTGAGTAATCCCACTTTGAGTCATTTTCTATTTATTCAAACCTATAACAACCTATTTCAAATGAAAGTTAAAAACACACAATGACCTTTGAAGAGAAAAGCCCAAATAGTGAGGGAAATCCAGAACAAACCATGCTTCTGTATTAAATTTTAGGCCCTTAATAAAAATCATAACCATAAGTGATTACATATCTTGAGTATTTTTGACGGGTAGTGATCAATGGCTCCTTGACTGGTTGGCAGCCGGTATCAAGCGGAGTGCCCCAAGGGTCGGTCCTGGGGCCAGTTTTGTTCAATATCTTCATTAATGATCTGGAGGATGGCATGGACTGCACCTTCAGCAAGTTTGCAGATGACACTAAACTGGGAGGAGTGGTAGATACGCTGGAGGGTAGGGATAAAATACAAAAGGACCTAGACAAGTTAGAGGGTTGGGCCAAAAGAAATCTGATGAGGTTGGACAAGTGCAGAGTCCTGCACTTAGGATGGAAGAATCCCATGCACTGCTACAGACTAGGGACTGAGTGGCTAGGCAGCAGTTCTTCAGAAAAGGACCTAGGGGTTACAGTGGACGAGAAGCTGGATATGAGTCAACAGTGTGCCATTGTTGCCAAGAAGGCCAATGGCATTTTGGGATGTATATAAGTAGGAGCATTGCCAGCACATCGAGAGACGGGATCGTGCCCCTCTATTCGACATTAGCGAGGCCTCATCTGGAGTACTGTGTCCAGTTTTTGGCCCCACGCTATAAGAAGGATGTGGCAAAATTGGAAAACGTCCAGCGGAGGGCAACAAAAATGATTAGGGGACTGGGACACATGACTTATGAGAAGAGGCTGAGGGAACTGGGATTGTTTAGTCTACGGAAGAGAAGAATGAGGGGGGATTTGAAAGCTGCTTTCAACTACCTGAAAGGGGGTTCCAAAGAGGATGGATCTAGACTGTTGTCAGTGGTAGCAGATGACAGAACGAGGAGTAATGGTCTCAAGTTGCAGTGGGGGAGGTTTAGGTTGGATATTAGGAAAAACTTTTTCACTAGGAGGGTGGTGAAACACTGGAATGCATTACCTAGGGAGGTGGTGGAATCTCCTTCCTTAGAAGTTTTTAAGGTCAGGCTTGACAAAGCCCTGGCTGGGATGATTTAGATGGGGATTGGTCCTGCTTTGAGCAGGGGGTTGGACTAGATGACCTCCTGAGGTCCCTTCCAACCCTGATATTCTATGATTCTATGATACAAGTTACATAGACTTCAGGATAAAATAGCTACAGAATACCTCAAGGACAAGATGTAAAGTTCCTCAACCTGTGTTTCTGTGGTTTGACTGAAATCACTGGTTATACATTTCTTTTTCACAATCTAGGGTGTCTCAGCGTCCTGCAGTTTGGAATGATTAGTTTCAAGAGGTTACCCCATGCCCTCCAAAAATGTCCATTGTTCATTAATTTGATGTAATTGAGGTATATAATTCATCACATGCTTTAACAGGAAGCTGTTTAAGAAATAAGGCCTTCATCCAGCAAATCACTTACCCAAATTGATTTCAGTGTGGCTACTCATGCGCTTAAAGTTAGGCATATGCTTAAGTGAATTCCTGGATTGGAATCTATAAGCCTCCACTTCTGGGTTTATTAGCATTTCAGACCAATTCTAGGGCGTGATCTTGCAACTTTTTCTCTCACACATAGTTCCACTAGCATCAATCTCATTGCTCATATGATTAAAGGATGAAGGATCAGGCCCTTAATGCTGTAATGGAGCTGGAGATATCACCAAAGAAACACACATTCCTAATACCATTAGAAGTGAGGGGATTTTAACAAGAATATATGCCCTAGAGGCAGGAACTGTCTTTTTTCTACAGTACCTGGCACAAGGAGCACCTGATTGGAGCCTCTAGGTTCTACAGTAATATACTTATCATCAACTATTTTTCAATACCTGTAAATGTATAAGAAAATGGTCCTTCTGAATCTCTTATTTTCCTCAGTGATGTGGTCCAGTCTTGCTATTGGCATCAGTGGAAAATACCTATTGACTTCAATAAGAGCAGGGTAGGATCCATTGTCTTGAATTCTGTGCACTTCTAAAATGGACTTAGTGGATTCAATTCAATTCAAGTAGATTACTGGGGAAAGTGTTTGGAAAAAAGATCTCAGGGCTCTGATTAGCAGTAAACAGAAAATAAAACATATTTTAAACTGATTGCACTATATGAACAAGAGATAGAAGATTTGATTTGAAGACAATACAACAGATACAGAATTATGAAGATTAAAAATATTTAATTTTATTTCTTGGGAAAAGTACAGCCCTAAAAGAAAAAAACAAGAGGCATCAATTTTATCCTACTTGAAATTCAAGGAGTCTCTGTATGTGGTAACTATATTTTAAATATGTCTACCTTATTTTGTCACTGTGAAAATTGTTCTGTGGATACTGAAAGCATTTATGGAATAAATTGGATGAGTCTGTGTATATTGGTTGTGGGAGTTTTTGTAGAGTTCAGTTTTTGCTGATCACTTCCTCATGATGAAAAGATATATATGACCATTGCTGGTTTATATTTCACTATTAGAAAGTCCCACTGGAGTAAGCACATGGTGTGAATTATGCAAACTTTTATTTTGAAGGAATCAAAGAGGCTTGTTTTGAACTATGATGTGGTCTGCAGGATGATCATGTTTATCATGAGTCCTGCAATAATAATTTAGGCTTATGTTTCCCATTGTGAAACAGCACCACTGCTTGCTTAGTCCAGAAATCACTCTTCTTGCATTTCATAACTTTGATCAGGAGTCTTTTTTTTTTACTTTAGATTCAGGTCAGCTGACTCACCAGAAGTGATGGTAATACTTTCTTTGCCACTTTTTGCAATGAAAATGTGTGGAGTCCCTTGCAGAGTCACCCCTACATTATTCTGAGTGATTTTGTATACTTTTTTGCTTTAATTTTGTTTGAGGGGAGAGGGTTAACGTTGACCTATTACTGTTTGAAAACAGATGGTTGACAGAACAGGCAATTCATCATCTGGGGATTGTTTTATTTACTTTGAGAAGTATTTACATTAAAATTTTCACTTCTAAACAAACTGACACAAAGGGAAGCTGTAAGTAACTACTAGCGTTTGCAAGAGGCTAGCTGGAATAGGTCTGCCACTGGTATTGTGAAGTAGCCACGAAGGTGGTTTTAGGTACCTGTCATTTTCTCTCCTTTTACAAAAAAAAAAAAAAAAAAAATCTATGATTTTAATTAGTTTCAGGGCCTTTGCTTTGGGAGTCCATGTTTAGACAGGTTTCAGAGTAACAGCCGTGTTAGTCTGTATTCGCAAAAAGGAGTACTTGTGGCACCTTAGAGACTAACCAATTTATTTGAGCATAAGCTTTCGTGAGCTACAGCTCACTTCATCCAATGAGGTGCCACAAGTACTCCTTTTCTTCACGTTTAGACAGATATTTGGTGTAAGGTTCCCCAACACAAGTTCGACAGCAGGTGCTCAGTTGCAGGGGCCGATTTTGGATCTGTATTCTCATGCACAGACAGCTCCCACCCCCGCTCAGCTTCTACGGGATTTACACCCCCGCCGGAGCACGCGCCCCTCTCGGGCTCAGGGTCTAAAGCCCCCGCAGGACGAGCCCCTGCCGGGCGCAGGTTCTAAACGAGGCCCGCCGCCACACGCGCCGCCGCCGGGCTCTAAAGCGGACCCCAGGCGGCAGCGCGCCAAGCGGAAGGGGGTAGAAGTGGGAGGGGGCGGGAGTAAACGAGGGGGGCGTGTCTTCTGGCCTGGCCCCGCCCCCTCCCTCCGCTCTCAGTCCTGGAGCGCCGCTAGGCTGCCAGAGGGACGCAGCCACCTGCTCGGTGCTGAGCTGCTGGCAGAGCCGCCGCGCGCCTGCCTGGAAAGTTACCGAGCCGCCCGCGCGGGGAAGCCAGGAGCCGAGAGGGGAAGCCGCCGCCGCCCCGGGAGGAGGAGGAGGAGCAGAGCCCCGCGGCCAGGCGGGATGATGGAGACCCCGGCGGCCGCCGCCTCCTGCTCCGGCCTCCCGCTGCTCTGCCTGCTGCTGCTCGCTGCCCTCTGCCTGCGGCCAGGTGAGCGCGGCGCGCTGGGGCTGGGGCTGGGGCTGGGCGGCAGGCGGCTGTCACCTGCCCGCCTCTCCCCGGGTGCAGCGCTGCCCTCGTCGCGCGCAACTTTAGGGAGCAGCCGGGGGAGGGGTGAGCCGCCCCCTGCGGCTCTGTCCCGCTGCCTCTTCCTCTTTTCCAGCCACCCCCCCCCTTGGGGGAGGGAGGGCGTGGGGTGCTTCCTCCTTCTGGCGTAGGGAGGGGGGGTGAGGGAGGTGCCGGTGTGTCCTTCCCCTCTCCCGCTTTGGGGGGCGATCAGTGGCGCTTTTTCAGTGTCGGGGAGTGGGGTGTTGTCCCCTCTTTACGAAATGGCTCCCCCCCCCCCGGCTCTGGTCGTGTCGGGTCTCTTTGCTTGCGAGCATTACATCTGCCCCTTCGCGGTGAGAGCCGCTCGTGTCTGTGCCCAGGGAAGCAAAGCGATGACAAAGAGCGGGTCCCACTTCCCCCGGCTTCTCTGACGCTGGGCTATCGGGGAGTATTGTCTGGCTGGTTGTGCTGTGAGAACCCGCACAGCCTGCTGCTTTCCGTCTGTGCCACTCACCGCTTCCCTCCAGAGCGAGCCCTCCGCCAGATTTAGCTGGACTGAAAGACTCCCGGGGGAGAAGGGACACGGTGATCGGGGTGGGCTTCCACCTTCCTTGCAAAGTTGCTTTTCTGGTTGCGCCTGAGCTAGTGGGAGGAGGTGACCTCACCGGCAGTTATAAGGGAGGCTAAAGAGGTGAGAGTAAACTGCGACGAGCCGGTTTCTTGGGGGGAGGAGGTTGGTGCCATTCTGTCCAGACCACTACGTCTTCCTAAAAATGAGAAATGCAATCGGATGGGAAAGAATGCAAAACAAAAACCACCGGGTTTTGCATGTAGCTAGTTACGCTTTCTGTTTTCATTGCACGTCTGTCTGAGCGACAGCCTTAAACTTTCCAACAGCGGTAGCTCGCCCCTTAAAAACAACGTGTCATTGGGTCTGTTTCCTCCTTTTGTACACAAACGGCTGGATTGCTGCGGTCTCTCTCGGCTTTTCCCCCGCGCTAGTACCGAAGTCAGTCTTCCTCTTAGTGGTTCCGCCGTTGAAATTCGTCTCAAGTTTCCCCCACGCTGTGTATGTGACACCTTATTTTCGATACGGACTAATAAAGGCACCCCCTCCTAGGGGTTGTATTAGTAGCAGAATATGCAACTCTGAACGGATGCCACTGATTAGTAATATCAACATTAACAAATATGCCACCAGCGAGTAACCCGCTGTTGCCTTTGGATGGCTTCTCTTGAAATGTTGCCGGCTTGAAATAGGGAAACAAGGGACGCGATTATTCATGGGGATACATTGTATGCGGTCTGTTCTTTGCATCTCTTTTTCAAGGGTGTGATCGAAACCCGGGGGATAGTCCAGTGTCAGAGTCCTGATCGAAACTTCCATAGCAGCTAAATACTTTGATCGGACCTGGCTGTGTGAATGAGGTTGAAGGATTGCCACATTAGAGTCAGTTCAGAGTCTGGGTATTCCGCCTGGTTAGTGTTTAACAGGTGTTTGATTAGATTGAGATGACAAATCAGTTTCATGTGTGTAAATATCCCTTCTGAGCTTTTTTTAAGGCATTAGGGAAGTAGGAATACATGGGAAACGTTAACTTTCTCTTTAACTGTCTTGGCTGGGAGGTGTTTATTCTTATTTTGTCAATATTAAACATGAAAACTGAAGTCTAAGGAAAAGCTGTAAAGTGTGTGTTCTGCATTCAAGGTAGAGAGTAAAAAGAAAAGGAGTACTTGTGGTACCTAGGAGAGTCACCAATTTATTTGAGCATAAGCTTTCGTGAGTACTCCTTTTCTTTTTGCGGATACAAACTAACACGGCTGCTACTCTGAAACCTGAAAGGTAGAGAGTGTCTCATTATTCTTGTAGAAAGAGCGTCAGCCTGTGGTGACATTTTGTATTGCTTTAAGAAACAGCCTTTCTTTTGTGTACTTGCATTTACAGCAGTCAAGAGGTTAGGGAAGCGTTGCCGTGGAGTCACTGTGTTTTCAGGACTAGACTCTATACTCTGGTTTGCTCTCCAGTTACCTATTTATGCCTAATACTCCATACAGGAAATGGAAAACAAGAATAATACACTTCAGTATAATATTATTTCTCTTGCATTATTTTCATATTTGTCTACTGTTAATTTCCTAAGGTGAAACAAGTAGCTAAACAAAGGCAGCAATGTATAACCTTAATAGAAGTTCTGTTTTTAAATGAGTGTAGCAAGCTATCCTTCGAAAACAAAATGTTGAACTATATTGCAGTTTTCTGCCTTAGTAAATCATTAAACACTGTATTTAATGATTGCCAGTCTTTAAGTAGCAATGGTATAAAGCTTATTGGGAAACCAATTGCTCTTTGACTAAGAGAGACTCTCCAGGCATGATTGAGAATGATGCTCACCTTGTCTCTTGTGCTCTATTGGAGAGTAGGCTAAAACTCTGAAAGGGACAGAGACAGGTGTTTGTCCCTAACATTGAGGTGCCTCATATCATCCTATTGGGAAAATTTTTGATTCAGAATGGTCTTTTCTGGTGTTTTAAGAAAAAGTACATCATGCCATCAGCAAGAATTTTTTTAATTGCCCTAATAATATTTTATGCTATTCTTATTCCCTCTTCTGTTGTCTCATAGCATCCATTAACCTTCAGATACTCTACCTGCAGAATTATACTGATGCTGGTAATGCTGCATGGAAAATGACCAAGTGCTGTCTAAACAGGTTAAAGTTGTTATCCACTTCTCTCGTTTGCTGTGCTTTTCTGCCTCTCTTCCTTCCTCCCCCCTTCCCCCTCCCCCCCCCCAGTTCACTTTAACTCAGTTTGAAACACAAGTAGATACATGTGGATTTGTGGTTGGGGGAAGATGGGATCAAAATTGATAGGAAAAAGCTTAGCTCCCCTTCTTTCAGGATTGAAATACTAAATCTACTTAATTTCTAGTTTATTTTTAAAACAGTAACTTAGTTTGAACACTTTTTAAAAACCTTTTATAGCTGTAAAATTGTTTTGCCATTTTTGCTAGCATTTTGGTATTTCTATTTGTTCTCCTCAACCACTTTATTGTTTTACTGTTCCCAACAATAAATTACCCTGCATGGTCCAGTTATTGTGTACTGCACCATCAAAGTAATCTGACTCTTGGAAGCGCCCAAATCAAGTTGGCACATGCATTAGTGTAAATATGCGGATGTGTAAGATTAAAAACCCTATCCGGTTTTTTATGTGGTGTTTATAAACCTTCCATGAATATTTAAATTAATGCTGATCCTTATCAGTATTTAAACTTTATTCTTTATGGAATAAACTGTGTTATGGGACAGACTGCTTCCTTCTTTACCAAACACTAATTGTTTAATATTTCTGCTTGGTCCTGTCTACCTGATGTTTGTTAGAGTAAGTTTTCTAATCTGAAATGGCATTTTTGTGTTGTAATTTAAATGAAAATATTGGGATTTTTTTTAAAGTGACATAGGTCCCATAATAATTTTGAGTTCACTTCAGTCTTCACGGTCTTTTCTTTTTTTTTTTCTGGCAGATGATAATGTGGTTTGTTTGTTTTGAGGCTGGATTCTGTAGAAATTATGGTCTGTTAACAAAATGCATTTGATGATACACTGTATGAGTTCCTGCTCATATGATTATTCCAAAATTAATTTCTGATCTTATTCTTCTACAGTGTCTTTCCCTTTTCTTTTACTAGGCCAGTATGAACTTCAGATTTTAAGACTGAAGTCACAAACTCCCAGTGGAGTAGAGATTCAGTTGTATGCACTGTGTGTGTGTGTGGGGGGGAGGGGGGATTATTTATTTATTTTTTTAACTGAATACACACATCTAACTAGCTCATAAAAAATTAGCAGTCACTCATTACATTTGGAAACTGTTTGTCTGGTTTAAAAACTCATAATTATTTTTATGCTTTGGGATGACCAGAAGAGCAAGCTAGAAAATCTCTTGGGAGGCTCTTTTTAGAAGAGTTTGGCAGTAACTTTGGGGATTCTCCTTTTGAGGGTTTTTGTTTGACAGGATAGGAGATGACCCTAGAAATCACTCATGTAATCAGAGCAATCTGTGAACTTTGTGATTGAGGGGAAAACAAAGTACCTCTTTCCGGTATATATGGCATTTCAGACCCAACCTTTGCTTTTGTTCTATTGGAGGAAAAACTCCATTATATCCATATTAATAAATATTTTCTTGACACATCTCAACTACTTCAAGGGTACATCATTTCCCCCCCTCCCCCCCAAAACCCCTAAAGAATAGCAGCTTTTATTTTTTAACACCTCATATTCCTTTTGCCCAAAAGCCTTCCCTCACATTTAAACTTGGTCCACAGTAATACCATAAGCTGTCTGGTTTGCATCAAGAGTATTGATTGGCTTCTCTCATTCTAAAATTTGGGAGAAACCTCTGAACACTTTAACATGATATACATGAAAGGAAAAACAATTAAATATTTTGCACCTTACATAGGCAAGAGTGATTTATATCCTTTCTATTTTATCATGAAGATGAAACTTTTTGAAAAACAATGTCTTAATATGGGTTGAATGATTTTTCCAGCTCACCTGTGTTAGATGCTGCAAGAACTGACCATGTTGCCAGATCTGGTTACAATATAGAACAGAAGTTTCCAACATGGTTAAAATAAATCTTGTTCTTGTAGTGTAGACAGCACTGAAAAAAGTGATAATTTTGCTCACCAATCATACTAGCGCGCAATCCAGGCACACAGTTAAACGGCACTTAAGTCCCATCAACATTACCAGACTGAATAGTGTTAATTGTGTCAGAAGCTAAAATGTTGTGACTGGATTCCCTAACATATAGCCTTTTTTATGTATGTGGTATCTTACATCTTTTATAGTTTTATAAATCATATTGCAGCCATTTTATTGTATGGTTAGCTCCTGTCTTTAGTGGGATTAGAAAGGTACCAACATTGTTTC